TCTAATAGATCTGAATGTATGTATGTATGTATGTATGTATGTATGTATGTATGTATGTATGTATGTATGTATGTATGTATGTATGTATGTATGTATGTATGTATGTATGTATGTATGTATGTATGTATGTATGCATGCATGCATGCATGCATGCATGCATGCATGCATGCATGCATATATATATATATATATATATATATATATATATATATATATATATATATATATATATATATATATATATATATATATAGAGAGAGAGAGAGAGAGAGAGAGAGAGAGAGAGAGAGCAAATCTATTTTTTAGTAAGAGGTAGAAATGGTTTATTTCCTTCACGTATTACCATTACCACTCTCCCATGAAAAACAAATAGTTATATGTCTTATAATGTATATGTTAAGATCGGATTGATATTTATATCGAAATAATATCGGATTTATATCAGACTTTGCTGTGTGTGGCTATTCTAAATTAGGTGTTAGTACCATGTCGATATAAAAATATAGCTTCACTATACATCTACTTTCTAAAGATCATGCTGACATTTTATTCACAAAATATTTAATGTATTTATGAATTGCAAAATTTCCATTTTATCAGGTTGTTCAAATTGTCACATTATGAAAACCGGAGAAATTCTAATCCACAGAAACAACACAGGTGTTATGAAAATCTCCAGAGGAGTCTTGGATAATACCTATAGCTCATGCTAATTTTCTATCAAAATTTAAGTGTCATTGGAGATAAGATTATCAGTTGCAGAAATAAAGAAACGGAGGCGATTCAAATGAAGCATCTTTGATCCATTCCTCGACCTGTGCCACCCGAGAAATTGATCTGTGCTTTAATCAGAAACATAATGGAACAAATCCATTGTCGTGGATTAAATCTGCAATATTTAATCAAAAGTCTGGAAATTAGATATAAAATAAACAGCCTTGATAGAATTATTATTGACTGCGCTGAATGCATGTCGAACAATCTTGAATCCGTGTCGATTTGATAATTTTGGACGTCCTACACTGTAATTAAACGGCAATATCAGTACCGGAGACCCATCAAGTCCTGAAAACATATAACCAGAGACGAACTTCCCTCAATCAAATTTCTGTTGTGCCTGCATATTGGGTTTTATTCATCAAGTTGTCATGTTTTACAGAAATTATCTTTAACGTTTAATCTGCGTTGCATGTTTCTAATTTGATTAAGTAGATTGGGTTAATGGCCTTCAACACTCACGCGCCCTAGGACACGTTTGAGTTTTCCGTAAAATGGAAAATGACTAAACTTACGATGAAATTCACGAAGGAGCTCTTTTGGTTGCATTTTAAGTAACTTTTGCATGAAATGGTTATGCACAAGTTCACTTGTGAATGATGAATGCAAAGCGACTTGGAATCAACTCGGCAGTCCTTGCTTTAAATCATGCTAAAAGAATTAAATTATAGATATAATAATGTTATCAGTTACTAATAACGACTAATTTATTGCCATTATTTCCTTTACTGTTTATTGTTATGAAGAAAATGATTGAAAATTACGTTTGAATCCATTTTGTTTATAACTCGCTCTCAACCGCTAAAAAAAATATTTTAGTAAGAATGCTCAAAATTGTGTACGTTGTTCTCAATTTGCCAACTGCATGTCATTTTGTAAAATGCTACAGCTTTAGTGCCAGTCACACCTGTCTGTATGTACACTCACTTTATTGCCAGTTTAGTAACAGTCACAACTAACTGTATGTACACTCACTTTATTGCTACTTTAGTGCCAGTCACACCTGTCGGTATGTACACTCACTTTATTGTCAGTTTAGTAACAGTTACACCTGTCTGTATGTACACTCACTTTATTGCCAGTTTAGCATCAGTCACACCTGTCTGTATGTACTCTCACTTTATTGCCACTTTAGTGCCAGTCACACCTGTATGTACACTCACTTTATTGCCAGTTTAGTGCCAGTCACACCTGTCTGTATGTACGTACACTCACTTTATTGCTAGTTTAGTGCCAGTCACACCTGTCTGTATGTACACTCACTTTATTGCCATTTTAGTGCCAGTCACACCTGTCTGTATTTACACATTTACGTAAAGGTTATGAAATTCGGGAAGCAGTTTTCGTTTATTTAATCCTCTTTTTCTTTTTCTTCGCCTTTCCGGAAGACGCATCGAATAAGTAGTTGTTGTTATAGGGGTTAACGCCATTTTTCAGCACAAGCTACCAGGCGGCCAGTATAAATGGTGGAGGAACAACCCAGGAAAACCACGGAAAGACCACCAACCGACGAGAAGCTACTGGCCAGCTTTCTCACGTACCCACACTGACCGAGCCAGAGACTCTAACCCACGCTGAGAGTGATAAAATGTCAGTGATCCGTAACGGTGAGCCCTTTAGACCAATCGGCCATTCGAGACCCCTCGAATAAGTAAAAAGAAAATTAGAAAATATACAAATGACTTTACAAAATTTATTTTCCCTACAACGTTGTATCGTTCATCGGATACATACATACATACATACATACATACATACATACATACATACATACATACATACATACATACATACATACATACATACATACATACATACATACATACATACATACATACATACATACATACATACATACATACATACATACATACATACATACATACATACATATACAAGGGCACACATTTATCTTTGGATGTTCCATGTTTTTTTATTAAACTGCCTCGTGAACTGAATTAACAAAGAAATTTACATAAACGAAAGCTTGTAGGTTTTGTAATTCAAGATAAGAAATTGTACGAAACTGATCCATGAGTTTGCTGTTATATTTTATAAATGAATGCATTAGTTTGCTGTTCAATTTATATTATATTACGAAGATAAATGGGGTTACTGTTTAGTTTATATTATATTACGAAGATACAAAGGGTTACTGTTCAGTTTTTATTATATTACGAAGATACAAGGGGTTACTGGTCAATTTATATTATATTACGAAGATACGCGGGTTTACTGTTCAATTTATATTTTATTACGAAGATACAAGGGATTACTGTTCAGCTTTTATTATATTATGACGATACAAAGAGTTACTGTTCAGTTTTATTATATTATGAAGATACAAGGGATTACTGTTCAGTTTTATTATATTATGAAGATACAAGGAATTACTGTTCAGTTTTTATTTTTATTATGAAGATACAAGATGTTACTGTTCAGTTTTTATTATATTACGAAAATACAAGGGGTACTGTTCAGTTTTTATTATATTACGAAAATACAAGTGGTTACTGCTCAATTTTCAATATATTACGAAGATACAAGGGGTTACTGTTCAGTTTTTATTATATTACGAAGATACAAGGGGTTACTGTTCAGTTTTTATTATATTACGAAAATACAAGGGGTACTGTTCAGTTTTTATTATATTACGAAAATACAAGTGGTTACTGCTCACTTTTCAATATATTACGAAGATACAAGGGGTTACTGTTCAGTTTTTATTATATTACGAAAATACAAGTGGTTACTGCTCAATTTTCAATATATTACGAAGATACAAGGGGTTACTGTTCAGTTTTTATTATATTACGAAGATACAAAATGTTACTGTTCAGTTTTTATTATATTATGAAGATACAAGGGGTTACTGTTCAGTTTTTATTATATTACGAAGATAAAAGGGGTTACTGCTCAATTTTCAATATATTACGAAGATACAAGGGGTTACTGTTCAGTTTTTATTATATTACGAAAATACAAGGGGTACTGTTCAGTTTTTATTATATTACGAAAATACAAGTGGTTACTGCTCAATTTTCAATATATTACGAAGATACAAGGGGCTACTGTTCAGTTTTTATTATATTACGAAGATACAAGTGGTTACTGCTCAATTTTCAATATATTACGAAGATACAAGGGGTTACTGTTCAGTTTTTATTATATTACGAAAATACAAGTGGTTACTGCTCAAATTTCAATATATTACGAAGATACAAGGGGTTACTGTTCAGTTTTTATTTTATTATGAATATACAAGGGGTTACTGGTCAGTTTTTATTATATTATGAAGATACAAGGGGTTACTGTTCAGTTTTTATTTTATTATGAATATACAAGGGGTTACTGGTCAGTTTTTATTATATTATGAAGATACAAGGGTTACTGTTCAGTTTTTATTTTATTATGAATATACAAGGGGTTACTGTTCAGTTTTTATTGTGTAAAGGAATCAACGTGTTTGCATTTCAATTTATATCCTAAAAAGGAATCATTGCTTTTCAGTGTGATCTTTGGAATACCACATCAACATCTCTATTTAAGTTTATGCTATTCTGTTTATATTTTATAAAGATAATGTATCGGTTGGCTTTTGAATTTGTTATATAAAATGATACTTATCTTTGCCTTCAAATGTGTGTTCTAATAATGATAATGTATATTCTATTGAGATGTGTGTGTTTACTTGTTAATTTTATATTCTACTTAGATGTGTGTGTTTGCCTTTAAAAATCAAAACCACATACATATACTTATACAATAATTCCGAGACTGAACCCTTACCCAATATAAAATCAAAAATAACAAAACAGAGAACAACCATTACGTTTTCTAAATATGTTACCGGTACATGGTAAAAAGTATGTCATGAAACAGTTTCAAATTCACACACTCCCGTTTATTTTGCACCATGTGTCACCGTTTGGATACCATCCTAAAGCCCCTTCTCCCATACTTGTTTACGCATTCCCCAACATATAATGCTGGATTCACCTCTAAAATTGAAGGGAAAATTATATTTATGGGCAGGACAACGTCAGGTCCCTAATTTCTTAATGCGGATGTTCGGGACAGGGACATCCTGTTGCAGACATGTAGCATCCTGTCCATCCCAGTCACATTATCCTGACACCAGGCTGACCAGTCCTAACACTTACCTCTCAATGCTGAACGCCAAGCGAGGCAACTGTTAGTACCATTTTCGTAAATCTTTTGTA